TACTGTGGAGACAGCCCAGCCTTGGTTTCCTGGCTCTCGGGGCCATATTGTTCCTGGAAGTTCTTTGTGACCCCTGCTTTCTGCACACCCCAAGCTCTTTGAGCGGACCTGTCGCCAGTATGACAAGCTGCGAAAGCGGGAGGCCTTCCTGGAGCAGTTCCGCAAGGAGGACATCTTCAAGGAGAACTTTGACGAGCTGGACACATCCAGGGAGATCGTGCAGCAGCTCATCGACGAGTATCATGCAGCCACACGGCCGGACTACATCTCCTGGGGCACCCAGGAGCAGTGAGTCCCCCAAGACAGGGACCCTCATCTGCCTTACTGGTTGGCCCAGGCCCTGCCTGACTGACCACTCCCTCAGAGCACAGATCAGGGACCTCACACATCTCTTTCTCATAAACACACATACACGTACTCTGTTGGCCTGGGGACGTGTTTACTTCTCCTCTTATGAGATTATTTATGTTTAATAAAGCACTGGATATAAATCAAGTCACTAATCTCTTTGAAGGCTTGGAGACCTGGGGAATGGGGATGCCTGTTCTTTCTCCATCACTCTGGCAGGGTCCTCCCCTACTTCCACATCTTCAACCTGAGCAAACAGCCTCCCCAGCTTTTCCTTTTCCTGCCTAGTTTTGGAGAACGTGGGTGCAGTTGAGCCACCTGAGAAATTCCTTGCCAGTGTAAAAAGGCCCAAAGATTTGCTCTCTATCTGACATTCTGGGTCCCAGTTCCCACCCACCCCTCCCTGTATCAGGTCACCTTTCTGCCAGTTTCACATCCACATCAGAGTGTCCTGTTAGTCATCACAGCAGCTGGCCTGCGGCTACCACCCCCACCACCAGACCCTGGGCAATAATAGAGTCAGCCCAAGTGCTTTTAATCTTGCAAGTGGGGCAGTGCCAGAGAGCCAGGCCAGGAGAGCCACTGGTCAGGCAGCAGGGGTCTAGGACAGTCAAGTCAGGAGACCAAATCCACAGCCTAGCCAAAAGTGGGCCAGTAGCAAAGGTGCCATAATTCCATTCTCAGGTGGTCTCAGTTACTTAAAGGGCCAGTGCCTTCCACTTCTGGTGGAAGATTGCAAGGAAGTAGTAAATATGTAGGGGCCTAAATCTTCAGGATCAAAAGGGCAAAGCAGGTGATCCCTGACTGTGGTGGATTGTCAGGGCCCCTCTGAGGCCCTTATACCCCACAAAGGTGAGGACTGTAGTAGCAGCAGCTAACACGCCTGCAGACACCATGCTGATACTTCACAGTATTTTGTTTAATCCTCATGACAACCCTATGAGGTAGTAGACATTATTTTTTTTTTTTTTTAAAGATTTTATTTTTTTCCTTTTTCTCCTCAAAGCCCCCGGTACATAGTTGTATATTCTTCGTTGTGGGTCCTTCTAGTTGTGGCATGTGGGACGCTGCCTCAGCGTCGTTTGATGAACAGTGCCATGTCCGCGCCCAGGATTCGAACCAACGAAACACTGGGCCGCCTGCAGCGGAGCGCGCAAACTTAACCACTTGGCCACGGGGCCAGCCCTGAGGTAGTAGACATTATTAACTCCATTTTGTAAATAAGGAAACTGAGGCCAGGAGTGGTTAATTTACCAAGTCACTCAGCTAGTAAATGGCAGAGTTGGAGTCAAACTCTGATTTGCCTGACTGGCATCCATGTTCCTAACCATTATACATCCTGCTTTTTGTGATACCTTACACAGCTGGTGTAGAATCGTCCTATCTCTGAGTCTTTTGGAGCCATTGGATGGGCCCATGGATTTGAGAGGATGTGGGACCTTGAACACCAGTGTAGATAGGGCAAGTGCAATCCCAGGGGAGGGAGATGTCAGCCTCACCTGGCTTCAGGTACACCTGCAAAGTGGTCCCATCACCCAGGTCAGGATAGCTGGGGACCTGCCTTCTTAGCCTCACCACCCCAGGCTGCCTGGGGCCAAAGTCAGAGGGTCATGCCCAGTGTATGAGACAGATTTGGGCTGGCAGAGCTCAGCATGCAGGTGAAGCCCCAGCCCTAGAAATGTCCGCGGCTCCCCACTGCTGAAGGGTACCCAGGAACTTTGGGCCAGTTAGGATTTTTTTTCCTTTTTCTCACTGTTGGCCTGGGGACACACTTTTCCTTCCATGAATCTATTTGTCTTAATAAAGCTCTGGATGTGAACAGAGTGAGCAACATACAGGCCAGGCCCTTATGAACAAAGGGGACCCTTGCAAGATTGCTGGGCAGAGAACAGACAGAAGCCAGGCCCTGGGCTGCCTGAGGAGTGGCAGGGAGGCCACAAGCCTGTCACCACCACAATCAAAGTATGAGCCTGTCAGTATCAGTTGCCAGGGTCTGCAGGAGGCTGACTCAGGAGAGCCAGCCTGGTCAGTATCAACCAACTGCTTGTCCTCCCAGTATGGAGAAAGATGACTTCAGGGAAAACCAGTGTGCAACTGGTCCCTTCTCAGCTCCACCTCTGACCCCTGCACCACTGGGGACTTTGCCTTGTTCCTTCCCCTTTATCACCCTTGCCCCTGATGACCAACCTTCTGTCACTTGGGGCATCTGTACCAGTGGCTGGTGCTGAGTGGGGGGATCATGAGCTGACAGATATGGTGGGGTTGCTATATTTGAGTGGCCAGCTGGCCTGGCTCCAGGCCACAAGTGATCCCAGGGCCCTCCTTTGCGGGATGCAGTTAGAATGTGGAGCCCCAGAAGAAGGGAACACCCAGGTAGTCCAGAGTAAACGTCTTATGTGGATAGTACTACGGTCACCACCCAGAGGGGTGAATACCCTGCACTGGTGTGCCTCCTGGGAAGGAGAACTGATCTGGAAAGATAGCTCCTTTTTCCGACTGTAATAAGCGCAAACACCTCAATGCCAGCTTCAGAGCCAGGCCCCTCCCCCAGGGCTATTTCCAGATCCCCCATCACCCCACTGCGCAGCCCCTCCCTGTTCTTGGCCAGCAACAAACTCCAAAGTGTGTCAGCTAGAGGGCAGCCAGGAGGCCAGGTGGAAAGGGCAGGAGGCCTCTGGGAAGTGGGGCAGCAGGTGGTGCTGGTGGTGAAAAATCCCTGTGGTTGGAGAGACTGCAAGCCACAGAAGTAACCGGCGTGGAGGAGAGACGAGGGCTGCTGCAGAAAAGCTAAAGAGAGCAGAATGCTCAAGCCCAGAACAGGAACCTCTTTCTGACTAAACGAATAAGAGAAAATGAGCCAATTAAAGGTAATGTTCCCAAAACAGTGCAGTGTGATGTGACCCCAGGGACCCTCGAACATGCATGAGACAGAGATCTAGTAGCAGGAAGCACATAACCAAAACCAGAGTGGTGTAAATGAATCTGAAACAGAGGGATAACTGTGGAAAGTGTACCGAGATAAGGCGAAGAAGTGACGAGCACAAGGGTGGGTGGGAGCTCATGGTAAGCCCAGACGCTGGACAGAGTCGGTGAGTCAGTCTTGTAAGCCTTATCCCTGGTCTCCATGAGTCACAAACATTCTAGATCTTCCTAGAAGTGGGCACTCTGCAGTGGAGTCAAATAAAATCCAACATACGATACACCCTCCAGTAATGCCCACCTCCCCGACTTGCTCACTTTCCACTCCCTCTTGGGTATCTTAAGCAGAGAAGGAGCCACCCTAGGAAAGTAACAGGGGCGTTTTAAAGTGACATTCTGATTTACTAATTCCATCGTTTATCAATTTTAATTTAATTCCTTAGGACCTGATGACTGCAGTGTAAATTGGTAAAATAGAGTTTCTTGTAAAGCTGCAGGTCTGTCGGTCAGGGCCTAACACCCCCATGAGACTCAGCTAGAAACACCCTCCTCATGTCTGGCATTGCTATATTAGTGGCCCTGGCCGTGGAATCCAGAGGGAGGCAGGTCTTCCCTCCACCCCTCAAATCCATTACTGAATTATTAATAGGTTGACCAAATCATCCTTGTTTTAGCACTGAAAGTTCTGAGTCCCAAGAACCCCCTCAGATTGTATTTTAAAACTAAAATTCCCACATTCCCTCAGCCCTGGGGAAACCAGGACAGTTGGTCACCCTAAATTAACGCTCCAGAGAATGATCCAAAAATCTCAGTGCAGTACCTATGAATGGTCCTGGCTGAATTACGCCTAGGAGACAGTTGTTCATTTGTTCATGGATTAGGCAAGCATTTATTAAAATGGGCACTACCTAAGGGGATTCCCAATTTTATTGGAGGGGAGGAATGTAGCATCGTTACCATTTGTATAGCATTAGTGATGCTATACACTTTGACATGCACTTTGACATGCATTAGTTATCTGGGCCCTTTGAGGTAGGATTTTTGTCATGTATCATTGTAGGGAAACGGGCTCAGTGAGGTTAGGTAACTTGTCCAAGATCATACAGCTGGTAAGTGAAGGACACACTCAACTCGGTCCCCGGGCTCTCAACCAGTGTACTCTTCCCACCACACCCAGTGTCTAAGAGGTGCTCCGAGGACTGCTGCTGTCTGGGTTACACTTGTAGATTCTTGAACTGGGAAGGGACATGATGAAATCTATTTTAGGATGGTGAGTCTGGAACTGGCTTGAAAAGTAAATTGGCACCATATAGTGTTAAATGAAAAAAGCATTCAGTAGTATTTCATTTTTTTTCTATAAAATATAGAGATAGAAGACTGAAGACAAGTATCATAAATAATAGGGGTTATATCTAGGTACTGGTATTACATGTGTCCTTTTGTGTTTTCTACATTTTCCAAGTCATCTACAGCGGATATGCGTTACTTTTATGAGCAGAAAAAATAAATTTTAAGTGTAAAATGTTTCACTTAAAATGTAAATTTTACATTGTAAAGGTAAAAAATTACATTTAAGGGGCCGGCCGCGTGGCCTAATGGCTAAGTTCGGCATGCTCCGCTTCAGTGGCCCAGCTTCCGTTCCCAGGCACAGACTTACACCACTTGTCAGTGGCCATGCTGTGGCAGCGACCCACATACAAAAGAGAGGAAGACTAGTACAGATGCTAGCTCAGGGTGAATCGTCCTCAGTCAAAAAAAAACAAAAAACAATTATATTTAAGTGTAAATGAGTAGAAGAGTAAATAGGAAGAGAAGTCAGAGGTAAAGGGCCCACAGGTAGATGATGACAGTCAGGTGGGTATGAAAAACAGATGCCAATAACAAAAGAGAAGAAGAAAACTTATTTTCTGGGGGTAGAAACCAACACATTCTTATTTCTCCCAGATTTTTACTCTCTATCTGAAAACTATGGGAGACATGAGAGTTTAGGGTTATTTCAAAAACAAGTGGCTATATTTGATTTACACAAGAGTAGCAAGCAAGGAAACAAGTTCACTCATTTTTCATGTCATGAACAGCAAAAAAGTTAACACTAACTTAACTCTACAATTATTAATTGTATTAGTATATAATAAGTATACAATATATATTTATAATGTTTACAATATTTTAAATTAATATGCAATGTACATATATTAACATACAATATAAATGGATATGAAGTATTTTAACAAAATTCTTAAAGTAATGGACAAATACTCAAAAAGCGAGAGATGGACTGCTGAACACAAATACAATTTTTGCATGTGATCATATATTTTGTTTTTCTGGGGTTTTTCAATTAAATAAAATGTCTCAAAATATAAGTTGTCCAATTTTAATGCTCTATGTAATATAATACAAAATAATATTGAAATTATTATTGAGCACTTAATATGCACCAAGCACTGTTCCAAGCACTTTACATATATGAGCTCATTTAATTTTGACAACAACTACGTAGTTAGGTACTGTTTTATCCCAGTTTCTACAAATGAGGAAACAGAAGCTCAGAGGAAAGTGAAGCTCAGGATTCCACAACTAGTAAATGGTCTTTCCTCACCTGGAAGGGAAAACTTCGGAGGAGATGCAATAGCTGCCAAATTTACGATGGGCTGCCAACCGCAAGAGGCGAGAGACTTGTTCTGTGACGCTCCAAGGAGCAGAACGAGCACCAGTGGAGGCAACCATGGAGGGGGGGCTCCAGCCCCGCAGCAGGAAGAACTTCCACACCATCAGTGCTGTCCTCAGGTGCAATGAGTGGCCATGTGGACCATGAGTCCTCCTCTCCTGAACTCAGTTAAGCCAATTCTGCATGTTGACTTGCCTGGAACGGACAGATCCTAGGAGAGGAATGAGGTGACCTTTAACGTGTCTTCGAGCCTTAAGGATTTAGGAATTTCCTGGAAGCCAATTTCCTTTATAATAAAGCTTATTCGTTCTTAAAACAAATATATGAAGGGCTTACTGTGTGCCTGAACCCTTTCCAGGAACTGGGGATACCTCGGTGAATAAGTTAAGGTCCTGAATCTCAAAAAATTTACAGCCCAAGACATCTAACCAGGATAGTGATGGTCAAGTGGGAAGCATACATCAGTGGGATCACAACAGTGTGTGTTTGATAAGTAGTTGTTGAATGTTTGCAAGAATGAAAGGCTGTGGGAGGCCAGTGTGGGAGTCACACAGGACCGATCATTTGGCAGAGTCTGAATTCTGAGGGAAAGCTTCCCAAGGGGAGATGTAGAAGGTAGAGTGACCGGCATGTGCAAAGGCCCAGGCTGGGCAGGGGAATGTGAGGTGAGTTCCCTTCTCTTCACCACTCCCTTCCCATCAGCTGGGGAGGGGAAGCTCACACGGGGCAGTTGAGGCCCCCAGGGCCCACCTGGGGCTGAGGGAAGATGAAAGGGGTTGTGGCCCACCCCAAGTAGGACAGAAGGCTCCGCAGAGAGAAACCAGCAGGGCCTTGTAGGCAGGGGTGCAGTTAACGTGCTGACGTCCAGAGGGAATAGTATAGTAGGCAAAGGGAAGAGCACCTGAGAGAGGAGGGAAGCCTAAAAACAGCCTGGTGGGTTCTGGAAGCTGCAAAGGCTCAGAAGGCACGTTTCGGGGGGAGTGACAGGAGATGAGGTCAGGGAGGTAATCCAAGACCAGACAGGTCATGCCGGGCCTTTCATGCCATGTAGAGTTTGGACTTTATTCTCGGAGCAAAGGGGAGCCCCTGAAGGCCAGCTGGGAAGCTCCAGCCACCAGCCTACCCTTTCTGGACTTCTCCCCCAAAAGGACACTGCACCCCCATCTCCACTCCCTGCTTTCTCTTCCTTCCTGTTCCCTAACTCTTTCTGCAACCAATATGGCAGAATCTGACGTCAAAACTCTTGTCTATGTCCTGCCACTCCTTTCTGAAGGTGGTTTCTTAGATGCTGTTGCTGGCATGCTGACAGTCTGTTCTTTATCACTTCTTTCTCAGGAACCAACCGTGGCCTGCCCTGCTCTGCCCTGAGCTGTCCCAGACCAGCTCTGCTCAGCAAACGGGCTGCATCCTTCCCTCCCCCGAGGCCCTCGGACAGGCATTCCTGACTGGGTGCAGCCAGGGCCTCCTCCCCACGCTCAACCACATTCCCCTTTCTGTCTCTAGTCCACCAGATGCAAAATTGCACATTATTTTGTTAGTGTTAGAATATACTTTTGTCATGTAATTTCTCTTCCTAATACTCTCAAATACGATCCCTTGTAGTCTATAGAATGCTTAGACATTCATGCAGTAACTGTTCCAACAAACAAAGATGTTTTTGAAATGTACCCTCTTCATTAACGGTTAACTCTAAAATATATCAAGATAGCTTTTTTGTTCATTTTTGAAAGTAATCAAGACATATGGATATGAAACTTGGACATTCTCTTTCTGTTAAAAAAGAAAATCTAAAGGCAAAAGTAGGACTACAAACTCCGCTACAGACTGATTTTTTTTAAATTTTGAAATAATGATGGATTCACAAGAAAGTGCAAAGAAATGTACAGGAAGGTCTCCTGCACCCTCCCCCAAGACACCCATCATGTGAACATCTTGCATAACTATAGTACAGTATCAAAACCGGCAAACTGACATTGGCACAGCCCGCAGAGCATATGCACACTTCACCTGTTATATACGACTCACTCACATGTGTGTGCACAGCTCAACGCAATTTATCACATGCACACCTTCACGTAACAACCACCACAGTCAAGATACTTAATTGTACCAACATCACAGGACTCCGCTGTGCCACCTTTTTATATCCACACTCACCCTCCTCCCGGAAGCCTGATTTAAATATGAAAAAATATTAAATGGAGCACAGAAAAATTGTTGAGAGAAAATACACAAAATGATTATCAATAGATATATGGATTGTAGGACAATGCTTGATTCACTTTTTATTGTTAAATTTTTCAGTCTTTTCCATTTTTCTTCAGTCAAAATGCATTACTTTCATGAGAAAAATATCTTGAAGAAACTTATACGCCATAATATCTATAATAGCGTGATTCAACAATATTCAAATTGGAAAAAGATCCGGTAAATTTTAACCTGCCTTATTAACTTAAAGTTTACTTTATCAGCAGATCAAAATAAGCCCTTCCATTCCATATGTAAAATTTTTTCATCTCCTGCAGAGCAATTTACAAAGTAAAACACCCAAGCATTGTTAATAATTCTATCTTAGCCTGCCTTTAAGGTTAAACTTGAACAAGGTAAAAGGACCTTGTTTCAGTTATTTATTGCTGCATAAAAATTCATCACAAACCACGGAGGCATAAAACACTGATTTATTGTTTCTCCTGATTCTGTGAGTTGATTGGGCAGTTCTTTTGCTAGTCTCCTCTGGCTCACTTGGGCTATTACAGGCGCCTGGAACAGCTGGAAGATCCAAGTTGACTTCATCCACATGTCTGGCAGTTGGTGCTGGGTAGGGAGCCTCAGTTCTCCTCATGACCTCTCAACGTTCAGTAGACTAGACCTGCTTCCATACAGAGTGGCCCAGGACAGGGTTCCAAGAGGGCAAGCCCCAGTGCACAAGCGCTTATCCTCCTGTGCTGTGTCCTGCACACTGGCTGAGGTGGGTCTCATGGCCAACCCCAGAGTCAGTTAGGGAGGGAGCTACACAAAGGGATCATACTGGGAGGCAGGATTCATTAGGAGCCACCAATGCAACAATCTATCACAGATATGAAGATGTGCCCCTTTATAAGAATTTAAATATGGATAAAATAAAATATTGCTTTGGGTCTAATGGCAAGGTTAAATCAGGAAATTATGAGGCAACTTCCAATCTGCATATAACCCTGGTTCAAGCAAGATAATAGAAAAGGCAATTTTCCCAATAGCTGGCTTAAGAACTAATGCCCTATAAAGTGAGTTGAATAATGCAGTTATGTAATCAATTAGATACTACATTCATTTTCACATCATGGCCTAAACTTCATAAATCTATTTCTATATGTAGAAAATAATATAGATAAGAAATTCTCTTTTAACATTCCCCAAATATAATTTAGCTCTTTATTTAAAAAAAAATACTGTTTAAAAACAACTATTTGTGAAAAGTCTAACTCCTAAAAGTTATCCAGCTTTTGCCTCAGAACTAATTTCTGCAAATAGAGGAAATATAAAAATGGATATGTTTAAAAAAATTTTTAATGGATATGTTTCTTTTACTATAAAACAGAATCAATACATGTAATCCAACTCATTTTTCTAAATATGTGTTCCCCTCAAAGTCTGACGGATCCAATGGCCCCCCAAAGCATATAGTACTTAGACAAATAAGACTAAGAGCCACTGGGAATTTGGGGAATCAAATGTTTCAGCTGTTCTTGAGACTGCAACAGCTCCTCAGACGTCTGCCATGACGCTTGCTCCCTCACCTGGAAGATGCTCCCTCCAGAAGAACTGGCCCCCTCCTGTCTCTGCGCCACACTTCCCCAGGGCTCTCTTCATTCCAACCAACCACCCTGGGCTTCTTCAGGTCCTTCAACCAGTCACACTACGCCTTCCCAGCTGTCTCCATGTGTCTCTTCCCCTGGGATCTCTCCTCACTCCATTTCCTTCATCTGGCTGGCTCCTTACTCATCCTCCAGGTCACTGAAGAGTCACTTCCAATGAAGATTTCTGATTTCTCCATATGTGTTCACCAACACAGTACTTTCCCTGCCGTACATGTCCCCACAGTTTATTATTTTATGGTTTTGGTTTGTTTTTTCTTCCTGAGGGCAAGGACTGACCTGTTCATGGCAGTGTCTCCAGTGTCTGACACATGGTGGGCACCAGAAGCATCTCTCAAATGAATGTAAATACCAGACAGAAAGAAAACCAAAGAAGAGGGCCCTCTGGAGAACCAAATTCACAAATTCAAGATTATGCACTTTACCTAGAAGCAAGCCTGTCAAGTCTTGATTTATAGTCTACTTACCCTTATTTTCAACAAAAGTCTGACGTGTTTAGATGTACGAATTCCTAGACTGACACAAATTCAGAAGAAGAAAGGAGAGGGCCATCAGGGACTTCGAGGTAAAAGCAGTTAGGACCAGCACCATCATCCTGATAAGGAGAGAAGAGACAAAAATTACAAAAAGCCACAAGGAAGAGGCCATTTGGCTTAGGGGAGAACAGACTCCATAGGAGTCTGTGGGCAGTACAGCCACACACAAAGGCTGGTGTTCATGCACATGCCTGGAGTCACCAGAAAAGAGTAAATTTTGTTCATTATCTTCCATTTAAGAAAACAGAAAGAATACATTTTACAAATATTTCCATCAAAAATAATTTTTAAATGTTTTAAGTTATGGGACCTAGAGAGATAAGCCTGGTTATCTGCAAAATTCCCTTATCTATACGGAAAGCAACATTTTTCTTTTCTGATAAAAATGTAACAACGGTAAAAACAAGAGTAAATTACTGAGGGCCAACTACTCCTTCCCTAAAACAAGAGCGACGTTCCTCAGGGATTCCTGCGCCTTGTTCCTGCTCTCCTGGCAATTACTCCACTGTATTTCAATTAACAACTCACTTCCCTATCTTCCCTGCTGGGCTGTGCATTTCTCGTGGGCTGGGACAACGTCTTTTATCTGTGTCCCTGATATCTACCACAGGTCCTAGCACAGTGTAGCACATTTGCTGAACAAATGAAAGAATGATGTCAAGGCCACAGCTTCTACTCCCTGCTTTTCCTTTGACAAGAAGACATTAAAAGACTTGCCACACGATGAAATAATAGTGTACCCCAGGATAAATTCCTGTGTTCACCACATTGGCCTCCAGACCAGAAGTGTAGTGACTTTAATCCTAGATTACTTTCAAAGAGGAGGAAAAAGTGGGGAAGAGATGTAAATTTCTGCAACTAGAAATGAGTTTTTTTCAATTCCTTTTATGCATGACAGAAGAAAAGATATCCCAAGATTCTTACACAGAATAGCTTACGGTATCAGGAACCAAATGGCTTGTTGTAGCTGAATTTCCGATATTTGATCCTTTGGAAAACTTCCCAGTGGATACATTATACAAGCACCTGAATGGAGACAAACCAGTGACTACACGTATTTTACTTCCTACGAGATCAAATAATAGTCATGAATCATGAACTGGATCTGTAGACAGCTGCAGCAAAACAGAAAATCAATGGAAGGTATGGCAGTTCCCAGCCCAGACCTGCAAAGTAAGTTGGAAAAAGGGGGTGATCAGAACTGGCATAGCTGGAAGGTCACCCACGGTGCAGAACAAAGCTGCCACCTGAATGTGTTCCTCTAAAACAACTTTGCAGAGGCTCATGTTGCTCAAGGAGCACAGCCGTGGTCAAGAGATGGCCGGAAGGAGGTAGTGAGGAGAAAGAGAGAGACTCAGGGAATCACCCAACGACAGTTTGGTCAATGAGGAAAACACTGGGCCAAACAGTCCCAAATCTTGCCCAAAGACTTGAAAATGACCCATCTTCCTCTCTCTAACCTTAGTCTTCCCTGAGAATTCCCACTCCCTCTGTGTCCCATTCTTGCTTAGGATTCCTGAACCTAGAAAGAACTACTGCCGAAAACTTTTCTCTTGCCCACTTAGATTCCAGTTCTGGAAATGGTACTGTTCTCAGTATCCATCAGCCTGGGCCTCAAAGATGGAAAGGAATCACAGAGCGTACTGGCCACAGGGATGGTATGAAAAAATACCAGGTCCCTGCTCTTCCATAGATTAGGGCCTTCTCCCATTCTAGTCTTTCCCAATCGTGGGAAAGACAACCAAGGTGGCTTCCTCTCCCCACAAACATGTACCCATCATTCCAACCAGTAGAGCATTAGCAAGAAAAATAACATTCTAAGGTACCAAAAAAATACCTCTCAAGATAGACCTCAGAGTCAACTCTTGATGTTGTAGATTATCATGGGAATTTCTAATTCTGTGAATAATCTGTCACCAGAGTTTAATTCCAAGATCCAGTCCAATTCTGGTCTCTTACTATGTGCTTTCAAGCAATGCAATGTAATTAAAATGTTATCACAGCCTACCTCTCACAACGTTGTTACTAACTAGATTTGTGATGTTGGACAGGACATTTCCTGTCCCTGGGCCTCAGTTTCCTCATTCATTCACTCAAAAAATATTTATTGAGAAGCTAGTAAGTTCCAGGCACTATGCTAAGTGCTGAAGACAACGAAGATGAGCGGGATATAGTCCAGCTGAAGAATTTCTCACTCTATTGTTTGTGTGTTAAAGTAAATAACTCATCGAGGTACTGCGTGATTAGGGCAAGAATGGAGGTTGGACAAGGTAGGAGAGGAAAACTGGGAGGGGAACACCTGTGTCTGATTAGGGGCACAGGAGTCTGTAAAAATAAGAGGGTTGGACTTCTAGATAAAGAGCCTGTTATTCTAAGATCGTGGCGCATTCCAAAAGGACACAAGCCATTAGGATATTTCGCTTCAGGGAAATGTGTGCAATGCCAGCCCTCCACTAGCGCAGATAAGGAGTTTACCGTTGGCAGTTTACCATTTGGCACCAATATCTCTCTTTCAAACTGAATAGAAGCCAGATTCTCATTATCAGATTTTTACATTATCTAATTTTAATGATCACCTAGGAGTGTAAGTAACATCTGGTAAAATCAAGTCTCTTTCAATTCAAAGGTCAGAAAACACATTCTGTATACTTGTGCCATACACACACTTAACCAGCTGATGAAACAGACACATCATTTAGAAGGGAAAAAAACAAACCCAGACACACATAAAGTGAATCCATGATAAAGTTTTCTTTCAAACCAAACCAGAAATAAAACCTATTGATCTGTTATTGCCAGGAACTCAATATTTACCCTGAGATGCTATTGAACTCAAATCTGCTCATTGTGACTTACAGTTAACTCAAGCACCAGCTCATACAATTTAAACCATCCAGTACTGAAAGAACTGAGTTATGAATTCCTAAAAGGTCAACATCAATCCTTTCAGGTTGCTATTTTCTCCTCCTTCTTACCTCTATTTTCTATATTTACTACAATAAATATGTTTGATGTTATAATGTTTAAAACTTGGTAGAGGTGATTTTACATAGAATAAAGTATGTTCTCTCCCATTAAAATATTTATTAGTTTTCTCCTGTCTTCCCAAGGTAGTGTGAGGGATCTGATACTGCCACATCCAGACTGGCTGGTAAGTCAGTTGTACGTATAATTCAGCGCTTAGATTTTGTTCTATCTTGAGGTTGAAATGAAGAAAAATACAAGCCTTCCCCATTCCATTTTCAATTTTTCATCAGATATATATAGATATATATCTACATACATCTTTATATATAGATATATATACCTTTATATATATATATATATTTAGTGATCAAAAATTTTGTTAAGAAGACATCCTGATGGTTGCACAACAATGTGAATGTACTTAATGCCACTGAACTATATACATAAAAATGGTTAAAATGGTAAATTTTATGTTATTTATATTTTACTACTTTTTTTTTTTTTTTTGAAGGTTAGCCCTGAGCTAACATCTGCTGCCAATCCTCCTCTTTTTGCTGAGGAAGACTGGCCCTGAGCTAACATCCGTGCCCATCTTCCTCTACTTTATATGTGGGACGCCTGCCACAGCATGACTTGTCAAGCAGTGCCATGTCTGCGCCTGGGATCCGAACGGGTGAACCCCAGGCCATGGAAGCAGAACGTGTGCACTTAACCGCTGCACCACCGGGCCGGCCCCTTACTACTTTTTAAAGCAAGTAATTTAAAAAAATTTTAGTTAAAAAAATGCAATTGACTTGTGTATAAGGACCTTGTATCCTGTAAACTTTCTAAACTCATATCTTAGTTCTAGCAGCTTTTTAAAAGCATTCCTTAGGATTTTCTACGTACAATCATGTCTTGTGTCTCCTGTAAATAAAGACAATTTTATTTCTTCCAGAAAAAGACATCTCTACATCAACAAAGCAAAGGCTACCAGAGTATAAAATCCTTTTTTCTTTACCCTCAGACACTTCCGAAATATGCCAAGGAGGAGGAACCACGTCACACAGATGTCAACTCAGATTAGGGAAGATAAGATGAAAACTACTTTGATTCCAACACGTGAGAACAGTTTGAGAATGACTTTGCTTCTACATGTGATTAACAGAAAAACACCTTAAGCCAGGTACCACTCCTGAGCCAGGAGGAACGACAGCAGGGGAGGTGGACATAGGTTGTTTCCAGGGTTCCCTGGTTCATCGACTCCTTATTTGATTTCAGGGTGATTCAACCAGGGAGCACTGTTTCAACCTGTTTGGTCTTGGTCCATCCAGAAAACGCACTTGCTGACTTGCTTCTCTCGCTAATTTACAGATGGGGTTGAAGCAAGCAAGGGCAGCAACTCTGACAGTTCTCGCTCGGGAATCCTCAAAACAGTCACAGACCCGCCCCGAGAGCCTGCACAAAGGGACTGTCTGAGACCTGCAGGGCCCTGGAGTCAACAGCTAAAGTCTTCAACTGGAGAGGTAAGAAGCCAGAGGGGCAGGCAGACCAGGACTAAGAAAACAAGAGCTCCAAAACAAACAAACAAACAAAAACCATTAATAAAAACTGCTATAAGGTGAATATAGGGCAGGAGCTTCCAATTTTCAATTAGACTGCTAAACAACTATTCTTAGAATTTTGTGGTGTTGATTTAACAAACCAAATGACAGAGAGAAGGAAACTAAAACCATGTCAAAGGTTAATTTTTAATAATCTCCTAAATAGTTTTGATTAGCCAAATACACTAGCCTGGCACAGCTGGAGACATGTATTGATAGCATAAGAAACATCAATAGAGTCAAAATGGACCAAAAATTTCGACACACAAATAAAAATAATGGAAGCTCTCGAAATAAAGGAATAAGAACTTAATCCCAAATACTTAAAGAGATCGACTTACTAAATATAACATTTAAAGCAGCAGTAGGAAATATAATATCTTATTACCATATTCGAAACATTTTAAAATTTCATCTGAAAAAAAATCTGTGAAGGGGCCAACCCACTGTCTAGTGGTTAAGTTCACACGCTCTGCTTTGGCAGCCTGTGGTTGATGGGTTCAGATCCCAGGCACAGACCTATGCACTGCTCATCAGGCCATGCTGTGGCCGCACCCTGCATTCAAAATAGAGGAAGATTGCCACAGATGTTAGCTCAGGGCCAATCTTCCTCACCAAAATAAATAAATAAATAAATAAATCTGTAAAGGCACAGAAACACAAATGGCTAGCACAATAGGATCTTAAAAAGGAACTCTGATGAAAGCATCAACACAAATAGATCATGAGTTAAACAGAAATCATGTTTACTGTAAAAAGGAGGAAAAAAATATGACTTTCACAATAAAATGAAGGAAAATACAGACCACGCACAATAATACTATTATTTTAAAATCATGCATATATGAGAATATGAGCCTTATTTAAGAATATGAGCCTTATAAAAGAAATGAGCCTCAGTTTCTTCCTTCATGAAAAGTTGAAATAGACTAGGGCGCCTAACACGGGCTATAGGTGTGCTGGTCTGCGAGAGGAGCCTCCAGGCAGCCCCTCCTGCGTGAACTGCCTCTTCCCTTCCCTGTTCTTGGGCGGCTGTACAACGTCATCATTTTCTATGTGAACACTGCGGGGAAAGGTTGGGAAGGCCTAATTAATAAATGATCTCCACGTCCCATCCAGCTCTAGCGTGCTGTCACTGTACCTCCAATAAGTCAACATCCTTCGCATCGGCAACATGGACAGTGACAACAAGGCAAATAGAAAGAACCTCCGTTCTACAAAAAGAACTATAACAGATAATGAAAATGATAGGAACATTCCTATCATTCTAAAAGCTACTTTTATGGAAAGCACATTTAAAGTACAAGATAAAAAAGTTAAATAGAGGGGCTGGCCCCATGGCTGAGTGGTTAAGTTCGTGCACTCTGCTTTGGCAGCCTGGAGTTTCACCGGTTCAGATCCTAGGTGTGGACAGGACACTGCTCATCAGGCCATGCTGAGGCGGCGTCCCACATAGCCCAGCCAGAAGGACCTACAACTAGAATGTACAACTATGTACTAGGAGGCTTTGGGGAGAAGAAGAAGAAGAAAAAAAATGGAGTGGCAACAGATGTTAGCTCAGGTGCCAATCTAAAAAAAACATATATACATATTTTTTTAAAAGTTAAATACATTTTAAGGCAAGCTCTCCTAGCAAAACGTCTTTCTGAGGCAGACTGAAATGAGAGCTAAAGTCATATATATTATGGCTGAAACTGTAGCTGTTAGCAAATAGGAGAATGGACATGGCAATTAGGGATAACATGGACATGAACAAGGACACGAAAATGCCATCAGGAAATACATATTTCCAATAAGCAGTATAAAAAACGGTGCAAAGGGGGCTGGCGTCGTGGCCAAGTGGTTGAAGTTCCACACACTCTGCTTTGGCAGCCTGGGTTTGGGGGTTCCAATCCAGGCATGGACCCACTCCACTCATCAGCCATGCCATGGAGTATCCCTCTTACAAAATAGAGGAAGATGTGGATGTTAGCTCAGGGCTAATCTTCCTCAAGAAAAAATTAAAAAGAAGAAGATTGGCAATGGATGTCAGCTCAGGGCAAATCTTCCTCATAAAAACAAAAAAGAATGCAAAAAACATATAAAATAAAAAATTTAAAATTTGCCCCATCCTTCCTCCAATGGGTATAAAGATATTAAAACACATTTTTTAAAATTTTTATTTTTTTCGGATGTACATCATATTTCAAATTCTGGATACATTACATCATGTTCACCACCCGAACACTAATTATAGTGCATCCCCTCACATGTGACCCTAATCACCCCTTTTGCCCTCCCCCCCCTTCCCCAATGGTAACCACCAGTCCAATCTCCAATGCTATGTGTTTGCTGTTTTTTTTTTTTGTCGTTTTTATCTTCTACTTATGAGTGAGATCATATGGTATTTGACTTTCTCCTTCTGACTTATTTCACTCAGCATAATACCCTCAAGGTCCATCCATGTTGTCGCAAATGGCTGGATTTCATCATTTCTTATGGCTGAGTAGTAGTCCATCGTGTATAAATACCACATCTTCTTTATCCATTCGTCCCTTGATGGGCACCTAGGTTGCTTCCAAGTCTTGGCTATTGTGTATAATGCCACAATGAACATAGGGGTGCAAGTATCTTTATGTCTTTGTGTTTTCAAGTTCTTTGGATAAATACCCAGAAGTGGAATAGCTGGATCATATGGTAAATCTATCCTTAATTTTCAGAGGATACTCCAAACTGCTTTCCATAGTGGCTGCACCTAAAACATATTTATTTTTAAAAATATTGTGTGATTTCTTTTATAGAGGCACGGGTGGCATACACAAATTTACCTTAGCATTCAAGTGACTTAAAGAATGGTCTCAAATTTATGCTTGGGATAAATTTTTCATTTAAAATCAGTTGTGAAGTACACAGGAGGCAATTATACAATCCTTGCTGCTTTTTATAAGTTTTTAAATGTCCAAAATCAAAAGCTTGCAAGTTCAATTGTGGATTATATCTTTCTAAATTTTAAAATGTTTAGATTTTATGTGAAGTGTATAACTGAATCCCGAGTGTGTAATTTCAGCCTGGTTAGTTATGTGTCTATCCTTTCAGTGCTCTTACTTCAATAAGAGAAATAAAAAGACTCAATTCAGCATAGTGTAGAGCAGTGCTCCTTAAACTTTACTCACATACAAATAGCCCAGGGATCTCCTGAAATTGCAGATTCTGATTCAGCATATCTGGGGTGGGACCTGAGAAGGTCTATTTTTAACAAGCGTCCAGGAGATGCTGATGTTGCTGGTCTAGGACCATACATGAAGAGCATAGCTAGAAAGCAGTGGCTCTCAAACTTAGGTGCATGAGCATTACCTGGAGGGCTGTTAAATCAGATTGTTGTTTTTTTCCCAGGCACCCGCCAGGGTTTTGAGTTAGAAGGTCTGAGGCAGGGTACCAAATTCTGCATTTCTAACAAGTTCCTGGGGGAGGCTGATGCTGCTTGTCTGGGAACACACTTTGAGAACCACTGCTGTCAAGGAAAGAATACTAGATTGTGAGAGAGAAAACCTGGATTTAGCCCCAGCTCTGTTACTAACTGGCCCTGTGACTCTATCAGGTAGAAATGTATTTAGCTGCAATTAACAGACCATCCAATTAACAGTAGTTTAAACAAACAGTATCCGGTTTTCTCACTCGGTAAATCCAGACGTGGGCAGTCCAGGGTTGAGGCACCTATTAGGAAGCCATCAAGGACGACACCTGACCTTTCCATCTTTGTGTTCCACCATCACTAATGTGCAGCTTTTGCGCTCATAGGCACGAAACGGCTGCTGAATCAAGCTCCAAGTAGAAGGAAGGGAGCAGAGCAAAAGGGACAGGCACATCCAGCTGCATTTGCCCTTTTGAAAAAGTTTTCCCAGGAGTCTCACTCCATGACTTCGGCTTATATCCCACTGGCCAGAACTGAAGCAACCACAGGCCAATCGTTGGGAGGTGACTAGGGAGAGGGGGTTGGACTCACCAACCAACATTGTCTACCACAGTGACCTCAGATATAGACACAGGTCTTACTGTAATAGCAAGACTACAGAAGCTCCAAAACCTCAGTACATATCTCAGCTCCCTGAACCCGAGTCTCCTCATGCATAAAGTGTACGAGATGCGCTACCGGCATCTGGGGCAGGACAATTAATCACTGTGTGGGAGTATCCTGTACACCGCAGACTATTTAGCATCTCTGATCTCTAGGTACCAAATGCCTGCATCTTCCACCCCATCATTGTGATAAAACCAAATGGGCTTCTGCCGGTTTGCAAATGCCTCCTGGTTGGGGTGGGTTCTGGGGAGGGGACTATCTTCTGGGATTGGAAACTGCTGTGCTAGATCATGTCTGGTCCAAAATTGTATGATTCTCTCTGGCCTCTTTAATAAGGGCTAGTTATTTTTTTTTTCTTTTAAAGACTGGCACCTGAACTAACAACTGTTGCCAATCTTTTTTTTTTTCCCTGCTTTTTTCTCCCCAAATCCCCCCAGTACATAGCTGTATATTTTAGTTGTGGGTCCTTCCAGTTGTGGCCTGTGGGACGCTGCCTCAACATGGCCTAATGAGCAGTGCCATGTCGGCGCCCAGGATCCGAACCAGCAAAACCCTGGGCCACCGAAGTGGAGCTCGCGAACTTAACCACTCGGCCACGGAGCCGGCCCCAGGGCTAGTTATTTTTTGAAGCCCTGGCTACACAGCTGGAGCATGAGTCCCCATTCTCCACTTCGTGGTGGGTAGGCATTCTTTTATCTCCTTATTGCTACTTTTAAACAATTACTATTCTACCTTCTTGAAAAGGCCCTCCTCCTCCTTTGAGGCACATGTTACCCACCGCCACACTCTTCTACTACTTGTTCCAATGATCTACCTGCTTCCAATCACTCTTCCTCATTCTCCACACTTTCCTCTCCACTCTAAGCCTTACCTTCATCCGGGGTGGCTTTTGCATCCATATGGATGGTGCTGACTGGACTGGCTGTTCCTTGATCTCTTCACCTCCAATGCCGTGTACTATTTCTCTACTTGTCACCCACCCTATGGTCAGACCTCAGCACTGGCCATCCCACGAACTAATCCTTAACCTTAAACTTGACTGGTGCACTCCTGTACCACCACTTCCTGATTCCCTTTCTCCTATTCTTCTTCCTAATGTCGATTTCACTCCAAACTATCAGCCACTTCCTAGCTCCACATTCTTCTTCACTCAGCCTGGACAATCTGATCCATCCCTCCTTTATTCCCTGATCTTCACCTGTCCTCCGGGTAGAACCCCAGCCCTGGATCTAGCTGACTTTCTGCCCTCTGACTCCCATATCCCGGCAGCCCAACACTGCTGGAGACAGAGCACACCCACTCAGACTGTTGCCATGACAACTTGACTTCTCTAACTGCCCCACCCCTCTCCACCCACTGGGCTGGTAGTCCTACTTGGCCTTATCAGCCTCTCTTCTGTTCCCTACCTTTATCACCTCCCCTCTCATTCTCACTCTCAGCAGATAGCTTCACTCCTACTTGACAGTGAAAATAGAAGCCATCAGTCAGAAGCCCAGTCAACTTCCTGCCCCCGACTCCCACCCCACTAAAACACTTATTTTTATCTACACTCATCCTTTCCTCTCATTTATTGTGGGAAAAGTTTCCTTCCTGTAGTTAATCCCTCCACCTGAGCGCTGCATCTCAAAAGCTGCAGCCTCCTCGGGGACTGGGTTCTCAAAATCCCCTCTGTCCCCTCCCTATGTCAACACGGAAGCCTCTCCTCTGTTCTAAAAAGCAGTGTTCCCAGACACTACGTTCCCATTTGCTGTATGTCTTCCTTTCTCTCTTTTCCTTTACAGCCAGAATTCTTAAACTTTTTCACACCACGTTGCCTTTGGCAGTCTGGTGGATAATGTTTTTGAATGCATATAACAATATACAGAGGATGACCGTGAAACCAATTATATTGAAATACAGTTGTTACAAAATATTTTTAAAATTTGTGACTTAGTAATACATGTGCATCTTTATTTTTGTGTGTCCTTATTACTGCATTAAATAAGATCTTGAAGTGGGTCTGATGACTCCCACATTTTTAAGTAGTGATGATTATAAACAATATTTTACGACATCTGCAGCAACTGTAGTGTGACATAAAAATAGCTGTGATTTTTACAGATGATAAAGTCATGGGCACTGCTAATGCTACTGAAGTGTGATGCCTATAGTCACAATTGAAGGAAAGGCTAAATTTTAGTTAGAAGTGAGTGAAAAATCAAAATTTTTTTTCCCACCCAAGTTCATGGATCCCCTGAATTCTATCCATAGATCCCTTGCAGGGGATCTGTGAACCCCAGATTGAAACCCCTGTTTTTTAAAGTCTCTATTCCCTGCCCACCTCCTTATCTTCCATTCGTGTCTCAATTTTATGATTCCTCAAATGTCCATTAATACAAACTATTATAAGGTAAGTAACCTTTTGCAATCTGGTTTTTATTCTCATGGTCCAGGTCACTATCCTCACCAAAGTCACCAATGGGCCCCCAGATTCGAAGGAGCCTTTTCCATCTCCATCTTACTCCATCTCCCTGCAGCCTCAGATGCCAAATCATTTCCTCCATGGAACATTCTCCTTCCTAGGCTTCTGCAGGATCCTCCTCTATGGCTATGCCTTCAGCTGCAAGTAAAAAAAGAATCCAAATTAAATAGTTTAAACCATCAGGAAAAATATATCCCACATTTAAGAGGTCCAGATAAGGGCAGCTCCAGGGATGATTAATTTGATGGCTCAGGATTGTCATCAGGGACCCAGGTGCCTTCCATCTTTCTGCTCTACTAGCCTCAACAGGATGGCTCATCCTCAAGATGCTCTGTGCACAATTAAAAGACAACTATAGCAGTTCCAGGTGCCATATCCAAACGTGACAACGTGCAGCTGAAGAGGAGAATGTGTCTCTTCCTATATGTCTATTTTTAACCAGTGAGGAGACCTTCCCCAGAAACCCACAGAAGTCTTTCCACTCATCTCATTGACCCGAATTGAATCTATATCCTCTCCTAAATCAGTCTCTGGCAAGGAAATTATGATACCCATAATTGGCTTGGATTAATTAGGATTTACTACTGGACCACTTGGAAGAAGGGTGGAATGCAGAACAAAATCAGGGCTCTGCCAGGAGCGAAGAGGGTGGCCAATCAAACCTCACTCAGACATACTAGTTTTTCTTCTGCTTTTTTGCTGGCTCCTTTATGTTTCTTCGCAATACAATCTTCCTTCTTACCCCTTAAGTATTGTATTCTATCAGGTTCTATTCCAGTCCTCTTCCAATCTAGGACCATCCCACACCACGAATTCTCCCTGAGTGACCCTATTCATGCTGATGGCTTTAACTGCCACTTGAGTGTGGTTGGCTCTCCACATAGCCCTTGCCCCTTGGCTCTAGCCTGTTATATTCTCTCTTGCCTGCTGGACCCCTACTTCCATCTGGATATTCCTCAGGCCTCTCCAACTCCATCTGTGCATACGGGCTCCTCCTGAACTTCCTGTGTCTCAGTAAATGGCCCTACCTTTGTTGCAAGATTGCAATCTGTCAGCTCAGGCTCCTCCGTCTCCCTCACTCCCATTACATGTTCAGTGCTCTTGAATGCCTGCATGACTCTCTCCACTCAGTGTCTCTAGAATCTGTCCCCTCCTTTCCATCCTTGAGCAGGGTCCTCCTCATTTCAGGCCTGGCTAGTAACCTTGCCTCTTGCTCCAGTCCAGCATGCCTCTCTCACTGATGCCAGAGGGATCCTTCTAAAACGCAGATCAGATTCTGTCCCAGCCCCATTCGGGATCTTTCAGCGGCTTCCTATTCTGCAAGGCACATCCAGGTCTGGTTCCTGCTGACTTCTCCAGTTCACTGCTTGAAACTTTCCTCTTTCACCCTAAACTCAACATGCCATCTCCCACATCCAGCCTGTACACATGCTGCTTCTTCCACACCATAACCCCCTCAACACACACACATACACACACTTTTTTTCCCTTCACATGCACTCAAAATTACTTTCATTTTGGGCCAGCCCCAGTGGTCTAGTGGTTAAGTTCAGCGCACTCCACTTTGGTGGCCTGGGTTCAGTTCCCGGGTGTGGACCTACACCACTCTGTTAGCGGCCATGCTGTGCTGGCAGCCCACATACTAAAAAACACAGGAAGATTGGCACGGATGTTAGCTCAGGACAAATCTTCTTCAGCAAAAAAAACAAACTTTCATTTTTGTTTTGGCATAAGGGATGAGACCATGTGTATTGTTCTGTAACTTATTTTTGTCACCTACCATGTGTTGGCCACTTTTCCATGCTGATGATAGCTCTACCTTATATTTCTTACAAATGGATCCTTTGATTCCTTAATAGGGATATATGTAGTTTATTTAACCACACCCCTATTGATGGACACATGGACATCTACGTTTTTTCTCCCCATTACAAACACTGCTGCAGCTGACATTCCTGTACATATATCTTTGTGCACATGTCCTACCATATGTATCATCAGGGACAAAGGCGATTCCTGGAAGTAGCATTGCTGGGTCAGAGGTTATATGCATTTTATACATCAAGAGTACTGCCAGTTTACCCTCCAGAATGTATCCATTTATACTACCACAAACAGTGTATGAAAATAGTGTATAAAAGCACCCATTTCTCCGACTCTTCATGAACACTAGATATGATCAATCTTTAAATTTTTGCTCATCTAATTTTTTTGCCTTAAACTTGTATTTTCTGATTACTAGTGAGACTGAGCATCTATTTATATAATTTTATTTATCATGAACCATTTATCCCTTTACTCATTCTCTTCTGAGTGTTTTCTTCTTACTGATTTGTATCCCCCTCCACCTGTCCAGTTCCTACCAGACATTCAAGACTCAGGCCAGGCACCACCTCCTCCAAAAGTCGTGCCCAGTCCTCTGGCCTCTCCCTGCCCCCAACCTCAAGTTAGGACCCCAACTCTTCACTCTGTGCCAACCTTGCTCCACAAGACCATGAGTACTGGGCTCTGTTACTTCTTCCCCAGCCCATATTAGTGTGCCCTGCATACTATAGGTGCATAAGAGAATGAAAGCATGAGTAAATAATCCACAAATAGGATTATGTTAGTCTTATTTCCTTTTTCCTATTCCCTGAGAAAACAATACAGAACAAAACAGCCTGTTTTGTTCTATTTCATAACCAAAATATGAATTTAGCATAACTGCCTTCATTGTTTTCATTTCTCCTTGGCTTCATTTTGAAAGTTAAACTCCCTGGGATCATAGGGTTCCAGTCCCGAGACCTGAAGCTGTTCCTCCTCCCAGGCCCCGAGACACACCCTCATCTCCCCACCTCACACCTCTGCCTCCTTACCTCCCAAGACAACAGTGCTCCTGGCATACTGCAGCTCAGGCATCCAGAAAAGGCAAGAAATGAAGATGCATACAAAAAAATGTCTTATTTGACCTAGAATGTCCAATAAAGGCTCAGGAGATTTAACAAACTTGTTAGTTCACAAATGCTACATTTATTATCAGAGGCAGACCAAGGCCTCAGACAAAGGAATGCCACATCCCACTACATTATCGTAACCTGGATCAGAGAACACGGAGCCAAGCAGATTAAACGCAACACTCAATAACCAAGCCATGGGTAATGACCCTGAGACCGTGGATGGGAAACCCATGAGAAGGACCATGAACCTTCTGCTCAACCTCAACAGAAGAGTGATCTGAAACTGAATCTGTACGATCATCACAGATAATTAGGTTTTAACTTTTTCAAACTTATTTAAAGCAATCACTCATTTTGCTTTTACCCTGAATAAGATCTTTCATCTGTAGCAACAGCCAAGCTATACTTCAGTTCCGATTGCATCCAGTGATAATAACAGCAGCTAACATTTGTTGGATGTTTACTGTGAGTCAGGCACTGTGCTAGGCGCTCGTGCATCATCCCATTTAACCAATAGGGACAGGTCAGTTCTCAGCAGAAATGGAAAGCACAGCCTGCCAACAACTGGGAGGATTTATGTTCAGCTCTGCTCATGTACATGAGGATCTCAGTTTCTGACCCATTTCTACAGACTAGCAGGAGCCTCCAGCTTGTCAGAGACCGCTTCTTAGAAAAAACTTACATTGCAACTTCTCCAACTCAGACAAATTCACACGTTCTAACCTGTTTGCCTATAAACTGGGATTTGAAGGACGTTTTCCCACTTCTGGGAGACCAAAAGGAGGAGCAGGACACTGTTATTAATCATAAGAAAAGGTTGACATTAAACTTACGTTTTACAAGTGTTCATAAACTGCTTACAGCTTATTATTTTAAAGGAAGTAAACAGCCGTTCCAGACTCAGAAGGAGAGGAGGCCTGGCAAGTTGACTCTCATCTCTGAAGCCTTCCTCCTCACCTGGGCAGCAGCGGGGAGGGCCTGGCAAAGCCTCTGAAGACAGCCAGCTCTTAGGGAGAGCTTCTGTCGGGGGAGGGGAGCCGCGAGGAGCTCTGACCCCACCCTCAAACTTCAAAGGGAGCAGCCAGACCCTCCTTGAAAGAGTGAGGCTCCTGGTCTTCCTGGGGGACGCTCGCATCTTCCGACAGCCCCAGCCGGGCCGGCCGTAGCGGAAGGAAACGGGCCTCCCGCCCCGGGGAGGAATAAAGGGGAGGGAAACTGAGCCGAGGCCGGCGAGGGGGCGGGCGTGGGGCGAGCCAGATCCTTCTAAAGAAGCCCAGAGGATTCCTGGCGGCCAGCGCTGGAAGGCGGCCGAGTTCTCTTAAAAAAAGAGAGAGCGAGAAGAAAACAAAAAAAATTCCTTCTGAGCATGACTCTTGGTGGTGGTGCTTTCGCCAGCGCCTCTGCAGCGGCTCCCAGAGAAAGTCTGCGAGGCGAGGCGGGGACAGACAGACAGCCCAGTGGAGCGGAAGAGCGGCCAGAAGCCGGCCCACTACGGAGCGGGGGCTTGGAATGTTCCGGGGGTGGGGGAGACTGCACCAAGTCTTCGAGTCTTCAATAATTGGTTCAGAGACAATTGGCCATCCATATGGAAAAGATAAAGTAGATCCCTATCTTACAGCAGGCCTCCAAATAAGTTCCAGATGAACTAAAGTCCTCCAGGGAACAAGCGAAAGTACTACGGGGCATTTGGAAGAAAACATAGAAGGACAGCTTTACGATACTGGGAGAAGGGAAGGTCTCTTTAACAAGGTATAAAACGTGCAGAACAGAAAGGAAAAGATGGATAACTTTGTCTACGTTAAAATTAAATCTTCTCTATGCCAAAAGACACCATATGCGAAGCATAAAGATAAAGCGATAGACCAAGAGACAATATCTGCAACCCATACAACCAAGAAAAAATTCATAAAACATCTTAAAATGTCTAAAAGAAACAGCCCAATAGAAAAATGGGCAAAGGACATGAACAGACAATTTGGAAAGGTCAGTAACAAAGGAAAATCGAATCAACTTCACTTGTATCATAAGTGGAAATTACAACCATGAGATCCCATTGGGCATCCACAGGACTGACATAAGATCTGGTAGCTCAAGTGTGGATGAGTGTAGGGAAATGAGAACTCTACTGCTGGTAAGAGTGTAAATTGGTACAATCATCTAGGAGAAAATATTTGAAACCTTGTAAAGTTGAAGCTGCTCATGCCCCTGGCAGAGAGATTTTCCTTCATGTTCACAAGCAGACAAGTCTTTTACTTGTTTTTGTTTTGTTTTGTTTTGGTTTTTTGGGGAAGATTAGCCCTGAGCTAACTACTGCCAATCCTCCTCTTTTTGCTGAGGAAAATTGGCCCTGAGCTAACATCCGTGCCCACCTTCCTCCACTTTATACGTGGGACGCCTGCCACAGCATGGCTTTTGCCAAGCGGTGCCATGTCCGCACCCGGGATCCAAACTGGCGAACCATGGGCTGCCGAGAAGCGGAACGTGCGAACTTAACCAGGCCAGCCCCATTACTTGTTTGATGTAACAGGGAGTAAGTGGAAACAATCTAATTGTCCCTGCATAGAAATAGAATAGACTGGTTATATTCATTTATTCATATATTGAAATACCATAAAGCAGTTAAAAGGAACAGGATAAACCTACACGCGTCAACATGGCTAAATCACAAAAATCTAATGTAGGGTGAAAAAAGCAGGTTGCAAAAGGATATTACACGCTGATACCAGTTATATAAAATTTCAAAACAAAAAATATATAGTAAAAATACAAAATCATGCTTGTATGCTTAAAACTTTTTATAATTTAAAATAAAATAGAAACCACAATGAGATACTACTTCACACTCATCAAGATGGCTATTATTTTTAAAAAACCCCAATAACAGAAAGTAACAAGTGTTGACATGCATATGGAGAAATTGGAACCCTTGTGCATTGCTGGTGGGAACACAAAACGGTGCGGCTGCTGTGGAAAATGATATGGCAATTCCTCAAGAAGTTAAACATAGAATTACCACATGATCCAGCAATTCTACTTCTGGGTATATACCCAGAAGAATTTAAAGCAGGGACTCAAACAGATATTCGTACACTGATGTTCATAGCAACATTATTCACAGTAGCCAATTGTTGGAAGCAACCTCATTGTCCATTGACAGATAAATGGATAAACACAAAAGGTGGTATATACATACAATGGAATATTATACAGTCTTAAAAAGGAATGAAATTTAGACATATGCTACAACATGGAGTAACCTTGAGGACATTATGCTAAATAAGCCAGACACAAAAGGACACATACTGTATGATTCCACTTATATGCAGTACCTAGGGTAGTCAAATTCATGGAGACAAAGTAGAATGGTGATGGGCATGGGGAGGGGGGAGCGATATTACTGTCTAATAGGTACAGAGTTTCAGTTTGGGAAGATAACAAAGTTGTGGAGATGAATGGTGGTGACAGTTGCAGAACAACGTGTGTACCTAATGCCACAGAACTGTACACTTAAAAATGGTTAAAATGGTAAATTTTATGTTAGGTATATTTAATTTAAAAAGAGAAATTTAAAAGAAGAAAATTGGCTTGAGCAGAGGCAGTAGAGTAGCTCACCTATCGGTATAGCGCCGCTGACCCCATACACCTGGGACGCCCCTCCTCTCCCCTCCCCTCCCCTCCCCTCCCCTCCCCCACAGCCCGTCGCCACCCTGCAGCTCCGGCGTCTTACTGAGCAGGCGCGGAGCTGGGGCCGGGGGTGGGGGGGGGGGGGCAGGAGGGGGCGTGGCCTCACTCTGCGCCTGCGCTGAATTCCAGCTGCGACTGCTGTTAGGGAAATGATGCCCAGGTTGGACTCCCTGGCCCGCTGGCCGTGGGGAGGCCCGCACTGCACACGCGCAGACCGAGCACCCGCGTCAAAAGACGAGGAGAACGCGCGTTCCTCGCGTCCTGGGCACCCGGCTGCCGGGCATTCGTCTCTGCCGTGACTCCCGCCAGGCCAGGCTGGCGCGCCCACGTCTGGAGAGCGATGCCCCGGGAGATCATCACCCTGCAGCTGGGCCAGTGCGGCAACCAGAGTGAGCAAGCGAGCGCCGGGCCCCTCCTGTCTCCGGTTCTACCCCTTCGGGTCCCACCCAAGTGCTTGGCATCCTCCAGTCCCCCTTTTCCTTCCAATGAACCCCTTCCCGTACTGCGCATGATGAAGGAACAAGCCCCAGACCAAGAGCCGCGCCTCCAGCCCTGGGCTGTGACGGCTCCCAGACCAGGCGTGTTGGGTGCACCCTCTGAGTGTGGCAGCCTCTGAGCCTAACTTGACTCAGGCATCTTTCCCCATCCCCTAGTTGGGTTCGAGTTCTGGAAACAACTGTGCGCCGAGCATGGTATCAGCCCCGAGGGCATCGTGGAGGAGTTTGCCACCGAGGGCACTGACCGCAAGGACGTCTTTTTCTACCAGGTGCCCCCAGCGACTTGGCCAGGGGTCCTAAAGGGAAGGGCAGCGGCTGGCTTGAGGAGGGAGGGCAGGCAGGAGCCAGAGTTGGGAGGACGGAGGCCTTGGCCTTAGCTGATTTGGCCCCCTCCTGGACTCCCCTTGACAGGCAGACGATGAGCACTACATCCCCAGGGCGGTGCTGCTGGACCTGGAGCCCCGGGTGATCCACTCCATCCTCAACTCCCCCTATGCCAAGCTCTACAACCCAGAGAACATCTACCTGTCGGAGCATGGAGGAGGGGCTGGCAACAACTGGGCCAGCGGATTCTCCCAGGTATCCAGGTGGCTGTCTCAGAGACCCTTGATGTTCCTTCCCCTGGACAAGGCAGGCTCAAGCAGCCTGGGGATATGACCAGATCAGACTGACAATAAATAAGAGACAAAGGGATACCCTAACAAGAGGGACAGTCAGGGAGAGGTTTATGCAGTGTGTGCAAATCATTTAGAAAGTAGCATCTCTGGGTTGAGGGCCACTGCTGAGGCTCTGTTTGAGAGCAGCAGCAGTGCCCCAGGATAGACTTCTTGGTGCTGAAAAGAGATGCTCTGCAGAACCTTCATCCTGACCCTCCCTTCCCATGTCTCTATACAGGGTGAGAAAATCCATGAAGACATTTTCGACATCATAGACCGAGAAGCAGATGGCAGTGACAGCCTAGAGGTGAGGTTCTGCCCACTGAAGAAAAAAAAAAGGCGGCTGAAAAGTGCTGGGGAAAGGTCGGGAGGTAGCGTGAACAGGTCGTGTGATGGGGGCATTCAATTCAAAACTCATTTATTGAGCATCAAATGTGAGATGTTGGGGTAAATAAGGAACAGTTCTTGTCATCAGGGAGATCCTAATCTGGATGGCATCAGCTCCTTCCGCATGAGCCTTCCTTCCCAAGGAGCCTCAGCCTGGATGGAGACACAGGAAGTCTTGAGACACGAGTGTGTTGGGAGTGGGGGATGAGACAAGCCTGAAGCCTCTCCCCCAGATCCCTGGAGACTGCCTCTCCATCTTCCCCATGCAGGGCTTCGTGCTGTGTCATTCCATTGCTGGGGGGACAGGTTCTGGCCTGGGCTCCTATCTCTTGGAGCGACTGAATGACAGGTAAGCCTGTGTTTGGCGAAAAGGCATTAGCCCTAGTTCCCTAGGTAATGTCTTTCTTTCTTGTCACTTTTTATCTTGGACTGGAAGGGCTGCCACTACCCTTTTGAGTCATAGATAGGAACAGAGCCTAGCTACCCAGGGAACATCTTGGAAGCAATAACTCTGGGAGGAGGATTTGCCTAGGGAGAGGAGGGGACCTATAGGGTTTGCTTCTTTAGGCTTATCCTTTTTGGCTCCTGGGCCCTGAAGACTCAGTTCTGCCCTCACCTCTTTTTCATAAGAGCTTGGTGGCACTTGGGAAGGAATGACTCCTGTTGACCCTGGAGAAGGCAGAGATGGGCAGTGATGAGGGGCCTTCCAATTCACTTTGCCACCTTCCCTTTTCCCTCTTCCTCACCCCCAGGTACCCCAAGAAACTGGTGCAGACGTACTCAGTGTTTCCTAATCAGGATGAGATGAGCGATGTGGTGGTCCAGCCCTACAATTCACTGCTCACACTCAAGAGGCTGACCCAGAATGCAGACTGTGTGGTGAGCGTAGGAGGAGGGAGTGGGGGCTTTGGTCTGCCTCCCCAAACCGATGAGACACATACATCCTGCCATTCCCAAGCCCCTCCCCAGAGAACACAGGACCAACAAAGCCATACCTGAAGGCCCAAGTTATGAAATAAGGACCTGACCCCAAGTTGCTTACAGTCTCTTTAGGCAGCCAGACTCTCAACAAAGTGAATACCCCACCTCCCTAAGTGCTCCCACTCTGCCTATTTAATGCCTACTCATGCTTAAATTCTCAGCCCAAGAGTCATTTTCTTAGCAAAACTTTCCCTTCCGCCCAATCAAGGTCAAATTCCTTTGTGCATATTTCAGGCTGTAACTATCCTTTTCTAGTTAATGTCAGTCTCCCTCTCCTAGACTGTAGCCCTGGTGAGGGGGAAGACCATGCCTGTTTTACTCTCCATGGTGTCTCCAGAGCCAAGCACAGTGTGTGGCACATGGAGACACTCAAATATTTGTTTACTGTACTGGATGGTAGAAAGTGTCTCCTGCTGCCCCAGACAGTACTTTTCCTTTTAAATTAACAAACCTACTTCTTGGATTTGGAGTTAAGAGGGGAGCTAAGCTAATAACTTATTTCTCTGCCCCTTTTCTCCTCAAAAAGGTGCTGTGACCCTCTTCTGTCCCCCCAGGTGGTGCTGGACAACACAGCCCTGAACCGGATCGCCACAGACCGCCTGCACATCCAGAACCCCTCCTTCTCCCAGATCAACCAGCTGGTGAGCCCCCACTCCCGGACTCCTTTGGAATAGAACCCCTCCTTGCTGGGGTGCCATCTGGGGAAGGGAGGCCCCCCCAGGCCAAGGCGCATGACATGGCACCCCTGTCCCCAGGTGTCCACCATCATGTCAGCCAGCACCACCACCCTGCGCTACCCCGGCTACATGAACAACGACCTCATCGGCCTCATTGCCTCGCTCATTCCCACACCGCGGCTCCACTTCCTCATGACCGGCTACACCCCCCTCACCACGGACCAGTCAGTAAGAGCAGCCCTCAGTGTGTCAGGCCAGGCTGGCCCTGGGCCCAGCAGGCCCTCAGCTGGCCTTTCTCTTCTCCCTGTGGCCCCAGGAACCGCCTTTTGCAGCCCCCAGAGGCTCTGCACTCAGGGACTGGCCAAGGCTGTAAGACTTCCTTGCTGACTTGCTCTCCCCTTCCCTTGGCCTTTGGCTCCCTGCAGGGCGTGGGCTGTACGGGGTCTGCTTCTGCTCCTGCACAGGGCCATGAGCTTGCTGAGCTGAGGAGGGCTAAGATTCCTGATCCCACAGCAGAGGCTCAGTATAGACCTGAATCGAAGGACACTCCCCAAAGAGACCATACTACCCTGAGTCTGGTGGGGAACTTGTGTTGTCTGCTTCTCTCTGGACTGTGCCCTGAGTGCTGGCCTTGCCCCTGTGGCCCACTCTCCCCTCAGGTGGCCAGCGTGAGGAAGACCACGGTCCTGGATGTCATGAGGCGGCTGCTGCAGCCCAAGAACGTGATGGTGTCCACAGGCCGAGATCGCCAGACCAACCACTGCTACATCGCCATCCTCAACATCATCCAGGGGGAGGTGGACCCCACCCAGGTAGGGGAGGCCCCTTCATTCCACCCCCGGAACCCACAGGGGCAGAGGGGAGGCTACTGTCATCGTGCCTGTGCCCTCCCCAGGTCCACAAGAGCCTGCAGAGGATCCGGGAACGGAAGTTGGCCAACTTCATCCCCTGGGGCCCAGCCAGCATCCAGGTGGCCCTGTCAAGGAAGTCTCCCTACCTGCCCTCAGCCCATCGAGTCAGTGGGCTCATGATGGCCAACCACACCAGCATCTCCTCGGTGAGGCTAGTCTCCTGGTCTTATTTGGCCACTCTGTTCTACCAGCCACCTTCTCATTCTCTGCGTGTCTGTTCCAACTCCCTGTCCTGCACTGGCTCCCATCCTGGAGATTTTATCTCTTTCAGCTCTTTGAAAGTTCCTGCCAGCAGTATGATAAGCTGCGGAAGCGGGAAGCCTTCCTGGAGCAGTTCCGTAAGGAGGACATCTTTAAGGAGAACTTTGACGAGCTGGACAGGTCCAGGGAGGTTGTGCAGGAGCTCATAGATGAGTACCATGCAGCTACCCGGCCGGACTACATCTCCTGGGGCACCCAGGAGCAGTGACTTCCTCCCCACTACTCCCCCTGGAATGTAAGCACAGCCCCCATCATGCCTGGTTCCTCTGACCCCAATTCCCTCACCAACAACCTTTCTAGGCTCATCTCCAGCTCAGGAGCTGGCCCTACTTCCTCCCTTCCATACCCTGACCCTTGATATGCTTGTTGAATCTAATAAAGTAATAAAGCTTGGTTGTGAATATAGTCAGGGCTTGGTTTGTGAATATGGCGGATGACGAAGGGATCTCCATGTTCCCTCCCATTTCCCAGGCACGTGTTGGTAGAGTGGCCTTTACCTGGTCTGTTTCCACTGGCATCCCTCACCTAGAACCAGGCTATTTTACTGGAGTAGCTCTATCTCAAGATCACAGAGGGTTACGGAGGTCTGTTGTCTCCTCAGTGCCTAAGCTCCTGCCCCAGGGCAGATCAGTTTGCCCCAGCCTCCTCCACTCAGGGCAGAAGCTGTGGGGGCTGCTAAAAGAGGGCCTGCCGCATTCTGAGCAGGTCAGGAAGGCCGGGACTCTGGATTCCCAGTGCCCAAGTCCATCAGATCCTCAGGGACCCAACCCAATTCAACCCAACCCGATAAAACAGGAACAGAACTCAGGAGAAGGGCTGAGCCCATCCTGATAAAGTGTTCATCTGTGCCAGAGAAGTTCTTGGGTCTGATCCTGCCCCAAGCTTCTCTCCATTCTAGGCCCAAAGCAGTAGGCACATCAAAGATGGACCCAACCAGGGCCTGGAAGCTGGACACCAGGATAGGAACTGGGTAGTGCCAGTCCTGATGACTCACTGTCCTCCGGCCTCAGGGACGCCAGGAGGCCACCCCTTTGCCACTCAAGGGAGAAGAGAGGGTGAGTAATTGCCAGCTTCCAAAACCACCCTCTTGCCTGCCCCACCCACCACCCTGTGGCAGCATACTGGCCAGGAAGAGGTTAAATCCAGAAGGTCAAGGAGGGTGGAGCCCTGTGGTGTCCACTCCCCTCAGTGCTGGTCAAAGCCCAGAGTGTGGGTGTCCCCAGGGGTGGAGCTCTGAGCTATAGGGCTCCAACTTGTCACACTGACAACACTCCCACAGGAAGAGTTTGTGTAAATAAGGATTTTTTTTCTTTTGCTTCTCTTCTACAAATAAATTAAGAAAAAAACTAGAAAATTGTCTGCACCCATTGCAGCCCTTGGGTATGGGGTGTGCCCTGTCCCTGCAGGGCCACAAGGGTCCATGGTTCCCTCAAATTTCAGAGCAGTCCAAGTCCAGGCTGGAGGCAGGAGGGAGGTGGTGACCTCTTGGCAGGCTCAGTCCTGCAGCTGCCCTAAACAGCCAGACTGTCCCTGGGGCTCGTCCAGGCCCGGGTGCTGGCTGCGAGGGGAGGTGCCTGGCAGGTCTTGGCCTGGAGGAGAAGGGCTGCTGCAGGGCCTCTCCGGGGAGGGGTTGGCCAAGTAGGCATTCACCAGCTGCATGATCTCTTCCACCTAAGAGAGGGCAGAGGTCAGAGTGCCACAGGGGCCACTGGGTTCTCTTCTTTGTCTCATCCTCTACCGAGGCCCCTACCAAGGCCTTCCATGAGCTATCCCCTGCAACCTTTCCTTCCTCATCATCACTCTCTCCCTCCCTCACTAGATGCCAGTCACACTTGCTTCTTTCTGCTCTGCTAATATGCTAAATTTATTCTTATCTCAGGGCCTTTGTACTTGCAATTCCCTCTACTTGGAATGCTGTTCCTGCAGATCTTCCTATGGCTAGCTTAAATGTCACCTTCTCTGAGTATCCTTTCCTGACCATCCTACCTAATGCTGTGGCTCCCTCCAGTCACTTCCTATCACACTACCTTTTCCTGTGTAGCATTTATCCCTACCTTAAATAGTCTGATTCCTTGTGTAGTGTCTGACTCTCCTGCTCTAATGTGAACTCCCTGAGCTTGTGTTTGATCACTGCTGGATGCCCAGGGCCTAGAGCTATACCTGGCCCATGCTCAGTGTGTAATAAATGTTTCTTAACATCCTTTCCTTTCCTCCTTCTACAGCCTCTTCCTACTCACCTGGGGACTCTGCAGGAGGAGCTGGCTCTCTCCCATCCTCAATGCCAGGGTGTGGGGTCCCATTAGCTGGCAGGCGGCCACATGGCCATAGCTGACACTGTGGATGGGCTCTGTCTCACCCGGTCGCGAGAAGGACATGGCCTTGGCACCCAGGCCCAGGCATAGCTTCTGTGGAGCGCCCCCACCAGGCTCCTGCCCACAGATAGGCAGAGTCAGGGTGGAGGGAGGGGACCCTGCAGCACTGTTTTTGGTCTGGGGGAGATGGCTGTGAGCGGGGAGTTTCCGGGTCCCCGCTGTGATCCACAGTGCATGTGTGCAGGGGGCTAAGGCTCCAGAGAGGGAGGGCCCAAGGGCCAGTGACTTTTGGGGTTTGAGATGGGCAGCGGTGCTGGGTGTACGCAGTGAAGTGACCCTCACTGGGGGCCTGTGGCTCTGTGGCAAAGGTGTGGGGCTTGGGCCACCAGAGTCCCCTCTCCCTTCTCCCCCTCACCGTGCTCAGCTCCAGAACGTCATACCGAGCAGCGCCGAACCCTGGACACTGCGCCGCCAGAGCCAGGTAGGCAGCCATGGCCTCAGCTCGGCCCATGCCCCGTAGTCGCTTCCAGCCGCCCAGCACAGCAGCCGCCGTGCCGGCGCCACCTCCTCCCTCGCGGGCAGGGCTTCCCGCCGTGCGGCCGGCCCCACCGCGCCGGGCCCGCTCGGCCTGCCTCTTGGCCAGGCCCGGGCTCCAGATTGCCCCGGCCAGCAGGGCGGCGGAGGGGGCAGGCCTGGGGACCGGACGGGGAGAGTCTTCACGCGGCGGAGCCGAGGGCGGCAGCAAGCGGTCCAGGCGCGGCAGGGGCGCCCGCGGGGAGAAGTCCCGGTGCAGGCTCTGCAGGCGGAGCGCCGCCAGGGCGCGCAGCGTGTCGTCGGGCGGGGGCGGCCGGCCGCGCAACAGCAGAGCGTGAGCCTGCGGGTGGAGCAGCGGCGTCAGCGCGGGCACGGCGGCTGGACCGCTGGACCATCGCGAAAGCACCTTGGGGTGTGCGATCTGCGGCCTGGGTTTGAGTAGAGCCTCCCGCAGGATTGCCAGAAAGATTAAATGAGATGGCCTAGAAAAGGAGGGGTTCAGGCTCGGGGGTCTTTTTGAGAGACACGCATACTGGAGATCCTTACCTGCTCAAAGAGGAAAGGCAGTTCGTGACCGTCTGGGGACAGCCCCTCAGGGTGCAGAGGTCCGTGAAGACGCAGACACAGTCTCCAACCCGAGTCTGGCGAGTCCTCCAGCCCGGCTTCCTCAGCGGCCAGACTACAGAAGAGAAAACGGCGCGACGTGACGCAGAAGCAGGGCCCCCGAGGCACCGGCCGCTGGGGATCCGGCAGGACAAAACTGGGGGCGGGGCCACATATTTGGGGCGGGGCCCCGTCGGAGTGGACGGCGGAGGTGAGTCCGGAAGCCAGACTGCAACCCGCCAGCTCGCAGGGGTCCATCTGTGAACCAGCAACAAACATCACTGGGCAGGGTAGTGGCAAGCGCTCAATAAACGTTTGCTTAGGGATTGACCGAAACTGAGAGGCAGATGGGCTAACGGAGAGCAGGGCTGGGGCTGGACATTTACTTCTCAAACCTGGTGAGCACGTCGGCCACGAGAGTCCCCCCAGCCAGGGCTCGCTCCTGGGCCCCCCGCTGCTCGTACAGTGCGAACGCGTTACGGCTCCGGGTCAAGCCCAGCCGCCCCACCAGCTCCCGAGCAACCTGGAGGGAAGAGAGCGTGAGGGGGAAGTCAGACTGCGCAGGGGTCTTGCTAATACTTCTGGAGGGGCTGATCCAACTGGAAGGGTCTTTCAGGACTTAGTCCCGCCACAGACACCCATTACCCAAATGATGAATCTCAGACTCTGGCAAACCTAGGGCCCAGGCACCAGGAGAGCCGGGCATGGCAAGCTGGGAGGAAGGGTTGAGGTCTCGGGGGTCTTTCTGTGGCCTTACCTCCCCTGCCGTGGTGTGGGAATCTATGGCCACAGGGCAGGCACCAGCCCCTGGACAGTGCACGGTGCACAACAGCTCCTGCCGTCGGCTCAGCGCGGAAATCTCCGCCAGCGACGGCACCAGCTCCCGGCCGCGCGTCCGGCCCAGCGCTTTCCGGATGAAGCGCGCGAATTCTGCCAGTTCCGAGTCCGGGAGCGCCTGCTCCGTCCTGGGTTAGGGAGAACCCGAGGATCAGTGCTCGGAGCGAGCGCTTTCCTGCTCCCTGTCCCTCCTGCCTTCTTATTTTATAGTTTATTTCATTTCATCAATTCCGTCCTCTCCAACTTTAAGTTTCTTGAAGGCAGTGACTGGGTCCTATGAATCTACCCCTGGTTCTCTGTATGGAGCTGAAGTACTTTTTTTTTTTTTTTTTTTTGAGGAAGGTTAGCCCTGAGCTAACTACTACCAATCCTCCTCTTTTTGCTGAGGAAGACTGGCCCTGAGCTCACATCCGTGCCCATCTTCCTCCACTTTATACGTGGGACGCCTACCACAGCATGGCGTGCCAAGCGGTGCTATGTCCGCACCCGGGATCCGAACCGGCGAACCCCAGGCCGCCAAAGCGCAACGTGCGCACTTCACCGCTGGGCCACCGGCCGGCCCTGAATTACTTTCTAAGCCCCCTGGCAGCTCTCTCCTAGCTGCCCCCTTCCATTTCCCAGTCTTCATGATCCTTCTTCAGGCTGAAATCCAAAATCCAGGCGCATTCCGATTTCCAACCTAAAAGCCCTGGCGCTGGACTACCTCAGTCCCGAGGAAAAGCAGCGTTTTAATAATTCCTTTGCACAAAGGGGGCGCCTTTTTGTAATTCCTCCGTCCACAAGAGGGATACGATCTTGTAATTCCCACAAAGGCGCTGTACATATTAGCAGCAGCCCTGACCTTGAGCAAGTCCCTTCCCTTCTTTGGTTCTAAGTTCTCCATCTGCCAAACGCCTTGGAAAGGCCTGTCGTTCTCTCCCAGCCTTGTGGCTCCCTTGCCTTGGCCTTACCCCACCCCTGCCCTCTCACCTCTCCAAATGACCCAGGAGGTGCCCCCGTACAGCTCCCCCAGGCCGGAAGGTGCAGCTCATGCAAGTGAGGAGCTGCCAGTACCGCAGGGCCGCGGGGTCTTGGGTAGCTGGGGGTCCAGGGGGGCCCGCAGGGCCCGAGGTCTGCTTAGCCAGCTGCAGGAAGAGTTCGTCGCGGAGTGCGGGCAGGTCCCGGCAGGTCTGGAGCACACCCTGCATCAGGGGCCCGGGGCGCCGCGCCCCCTCCAGCGCCTGCAGCGCCAGGAACAGCCGCACCGCCTCCTCACGCAAGGGTGCGTAGCCTGGACCTGCGGAAGGGTGGGGGTGGAGGGACGGTTTGGAGAGGGGACACGGAGCTGGGCCCTGGGAGGAAGGCATGAACCAGGGGAAGGTCAGAGGGAGTATAAGGGGACAGGGGGTGGTAAGAAGGGGAGAGTTCGAACGACAGGAAGAATGAAGGGAAAGCAATGGTCCCCACAGAGAGAGCCAAACTCTCAACCCCTGCCTCCCAGGAATCACCCCTCCTCTGTTAAGGCTGCACTTTGAATAAGTAACCTAGAGGGATAGACTAAAGGACACAGGTTGAAACCCCAGATTCTGTAATTGGGGACTGAGAGTCATCACCATGGGCTAGAAAACGGGCTGGATTGGGAGTCAGAAAAGAAGGGTTCTTCTCCAGGCTCCCCTTAATCCTCTAGCTTTAGGATCTGGGCCAGTCACTATGCCCTTTTGGGGAGAAGTATAGCTGGATGAGGCCAGCTCATTCTCCCAAAGTGGTGGTTTTTCTACCACTTGTAAAGGTAGTATGACCTGGTCTTAAGAGTAATGAAAAAATGGAGGAGAATGTAAAAACCCATGAAGGAGCATCAATAGGCAGAATGAGACCCATAGAGAAGGTGGCCAAAGGGAGCCTTTTTTTCCGTGCTGGCTTCCATCCCTGCCATGCGGAACGTCAGTCTGGACAGCTTCCAGCTCACCTTCATCCTTTGAAAGGTGAGGGCTGGGTAGGTCCCCTGAGGACTCCTAGGTCCCTGTGAGGTGAGGCATTCAGCTTCCCCATCCGAGGGACCTGGGCCATGGCGCCACTCACCTGGCGCGCTGACTCCATAGGGCAGGGGCAGTAGTGGGGCGTACAAAGCCCCGCTGGTGTGCCTCAGAATCGGGTTCCGCCGGTAAATAAGGGCCACGGCCTCCGGGTCCCCACAACTCTCCTAGAGGCCAGGGAAAGGGTCACAGTGAAGGAGAAAGGGACTCTCTGTGAGCCCAGAAAGCTTCTGGGTCCACCACTCTCTTCTTTCTCAATGGAGTCCCCTCTCTCGCACCTGAATGTCCCTGAGCAGCAGCTGGGTGGGAGTCTCCAGCGGCGCTTTGGAGGCGATCACTTCGCGCAGCGCCACCGCCCAGCGCTCTGCTTCGGCCTGGCGCGGGGAGCAGAGCCGAACGCTGTGCTTCCGGCCAGACACGGTCACTGACCACAGCCCTGGGGGAAAGAAAAGAGGCGGAGGGCAATCAGGGCCGGCTGGGGCTGCCGGCCTGGGAGGTAGGAGAGTCCCCGCGAGGTCTCACCGGTTTCCTTGGGCCTGCGCTCTGGGCCGGTCACGGAGCACAGGCTGGTGAGCACGAGGCTCCCGAGGCGCCGCGCGCCCTTCCCGCTGCTGCTGAACTGGTCCAGGGAGTCCCGGGTGAGCACGAACCAGGCGCGGCGCGGAGGCAACCAGGGCCGCGCCCCTCCTCCGCGGGGCTCGCGGTACAGCCAACCTGGGGAGAGGACAGGGAGGGAAAGGGGATCAGCAGGAGACGACAATATCCCCTGGAGAGTTGGGATTGGGGGCCTCCAGAGTGCGTGAGATAGGTCCCCACCTTTCACGACGACGTCCGGGTCGTCCTCTGGGGGCCCTTTCTCCGGGATGAGGCTCCGCGTCTCCTCCCAGCTCTGCAGCCTGGGCCGGAGGGGAGGGAGAGTTGGGCGAGGCTGCCGGTCCTTCACCCCGCCTCCAGGGGGCTCCTCAGTAGGGGCTCCCTAGATCGCGAGGGGTGCCTGCTCCCGGGCTGGGCACCCCTCCCCCAGGCTGTGGGAACCGCTGGGCCGTTCTGACCTCGCACCAGAAATAGCCCCTACCCCCCCTTCCTCCCCGCGCCCCCAGCCGGACCGCCCCCCCGGGACCCCGGCCAAACCACAGCGTCCGGCGGTGTAAGGGCCTCTCCCTTATTTCGCAACAGCGGGAGGGAAGACGGCAAGGATGGGGGTCCCGGGAACGGGCTAGGGTCTCCGGAAGATGGGACGCAGGGGCTCACCTGTCTGAGACCGGCCCGCTCCTCACAGGCTGCGTCAGCGTCACGTCCAGGGGGCTCTGGGGAAACAGGCAGGGCAGTCCTCGGATCAGAGCCCTCCTCCGGGAATGCCCGTGGCTTCTCCCCCTAGGACAGCGCTGCTCAGGGGATTGAGGAATTAAGGAGTGGGGTCGTGACTGTGACGGAGCCAGGGAGCTGAAGCTGCTGGGCTTGCCCCTTTGGCCAGTCTCTACAGAACAGCCCTAGTTAAGAAGCCAAAGCTCTCTCGTCGTCTCAGTTACTCTTTGAAGATGCAATCAGAGGTGGGGAGGGTAGAAAGAGCACTGGGCAGAGAGTCAGGAGACCTGAGTTCTAACACCAGATGGACCACTAACTCGCTGTGGAACCTTGGCAAGTACCTTCGAGGCTTTGGGCATTAGCTTCCCCCATCTTTGAAAAGGGAGAGGTGGATAAAGACTCTCCTGGCAGGCTCGAAGTCACCCCCCTCCTCGTTTTCCCTTCCTTGACTGATGGGCACAGACTTGAATGAAGGGAAAAGGGACCCTTTCAGTACAGGGCTTTCTCCAAGAACTTCTGATGCCCTCCCACAGACACCCCTGAGACTCAATGGTAAGCAGAGACCCTGCCCCTTTGCTGGGGCTCAGGAAGGACTGACCAGGCTGAGGAATGGCACACACTCAGCAGGGGAGGTGCAGTTCAGGACTTTGCCCTTCCCCCACCCACCCCCATGTCCTGGAACTTCAACTGTAGACTGGGGTCTGACAGAGGCTGCAAACTCCTCCAGGAGTCAGGTCAGACGGGAATCGTGCCACTGTCCCATTGCGCCCGGACTGCTAAAGCCAAGAAGGGGAGGTGGGGGAGGGGGCCAGGGACACCTGTCCCCAAGCTCTCGGGAGGGGGGGTGGAGGTGGAGCCTGAGGGAGGCATTGGTGTGGTTCACAGAGCCGACTCTGCCCAGGCTGGAAGCTTGGGGACGCCTGGGTCCTGTGCCCTCCTGGGGTGCAGATCCACCTATTTTCCAGAGGATCTGAGAGGGGCTCTAAGTCACACCACCACGGGGGCAGGTGCTGACCACTCTCTTAGACCAACCCCTAATCGCAGTCCCCTGCTTCCCTCCCTCCCCTCCTCTATATTTATCCGCCCTCCGCCTCCGCCAGGTGCTGGCGCCGGCCCCGGCGGCGCAGCCCGCCCCACCCGGGCACTGAGCCACTGGGCCTGCTGGAGACCCCTGAGCGGGGGATGGGAGCCTGACCCAGGCCACAGCACAATCGAGTCTGGTCGCCGGTGGGCAGGGGCATCGGAGAGGATACGTCAGGGGATGGAGGTCTCCCACACCAATCGAACCTCAGTTTCCCCACGGGGAGAGTCGACAAAACCGGGGAGCCGCGTGTCTCTCACCATCCCCTCAGGGATTCCCCAGGAGCCTCACCAGGGAGGGCCGAGAGTTCTCTCCAGAGTGGCAGGGTAATGAGGAGGGGTCCTCGAAGAGTTGTGGCCCCCAGCTCCCTCTCCGTGGGGTCCCCGTCACGGACCCCAATCTGAGGATACCTTCTCCCCCTCGCCCAGGTCCCTGCGGCGGGAGCTCCCGCATCTGGCCCCAGTGCTCAGCGCTCACGGACTGGGAGCTGAGCGGAGCGGACCCAGGCGTCCGAGCCGCCCAGCCGGCCTCTCCACATTCCTCGGCGCTGGCGGAGGCGGAAGGAGACGGGATGGGACGCGGGCCCGGCGGGGAAGGGAGAGGCAGGGCCAGGTCGGGCCACGCGTGACGCCTCCCCTGCCTCAGGGCTCCCAGCAGGTGGACAGCGCCCAGCGTGCGGAGCGAGGCCCCCAGGCACATCCCGAGTAGGGCTGCTCCTTGAGCTTCAGGGGGCTTCTGGCCCCCAGGCAAAAAAAAACCTCTCCCACGTCCCCAGTCCCCAAGCACAGGGCGTTTGGCTGGAGTCTGGAGCAGGATCAGGCATGACGGCCGGTTGTAGGGAGAGGGATTGAAACAAGGCTCCAAGCCCCTGGGACTTACCCTCCCGCCGCCCGCTGGACTCGGGGTCCGTAGCTCAAAGGTCTCCTCGTCCTCGTCCTCGTCCCCGTCCCCGCTAAGCTCGCCGTCCCCGTAGTCCCGGTGCAGAAGAGTAAAGCCTCGACGGCAGCAGAGGAGCCACCACAATCCCCCGGGGAGAGGCATCTGGGCGAGCAGCCGGAGGATGGGGGCGCGGGTAGCCGGGGCCGAGCTGCAGGGGGTCGGAGAAACTGGCGGGGCTCCGACCCGAGCGGGGGAAAGATGAGGCGGGAGGAGGAAAAGGGAGAGGGGGACAGGAATGGGGCAGTGTCTGCCGCTG